CGATTTACCATCAAATTAATCAGCCCACGGATTTTATCTATTTTTATCTTGTGAACGATACGCTTATTTTTCTCCTATACGCACACATTCATTTGCTTTGAATTCCTGTTCGATGGAAAAAGGTGTGCGTTAGTTAAATGTTGAGCACCAAATAAGCATAGCGAATCGCAACAGAAGGCTTTATTCCAAAAAAATGATGTTTTTTTTTCTCGCGCATAGATGATGCAAGATTTATGATTATTATAAAACCGCATATTTCCGCTACAATGATTCATATGCTTCGCAGCGGAAAATTCAAATTTAATTCATTCGATTCAATTGATAATCGGAAGTACTAATTTCCATTTCTCCGCCACGCTGCTGCTGGATCTGTAGTCGATGCCGTTGTTGTTGTTGTTGTTGTCGCGGGTTTTAATTTGCCTCGCCATTAAAACCAAACCATAACAATCGCATTTGAATAATTCGATACAAATATGAAACTGAATTGTGAAATTTGGTTGTTTTCAAAGGTGTTTCGAATCATTCCAAATTCATCTTTCGCTCGAGTTTTTTTTTTGTCATCACCGAATGAATCATTTCGTACGAATCGTTTCACTTATTTACGAAAACCGAATTTCCCTGTGACTAGAGAGCGTTGAAAACAAAAATCACACTGAAATGAATGAAACGAATAAATAAAAGTTCATACATCGCCAAACAGCCAAGAGAGGTAAAGGAGAGCAATACATCCGTCATCCGTGTATATTATAATTAATTTCTGTGTTCATTTGGATGCTGCATGTCGTAGTGAGAAAGAGAGATGCTGTATACCATTGAAAAGCGGCAATGCTTGCATAATAAAAACTCTATCGCTCCGAACAAGACATCTAGTAGATACACACCACAAACCACTCAGTATATTTCAAAAATTGTCGACGACCGTATCATTTTAATTGAGTTAAGTTTTATTTGATGCAAACGGAAAATCATAATTACGCGGGAGGTAAAGTGTATTTTTGTTTTTGTTTAACAAAGCCATCAAAATATTTACCGTACCGAGTGAAATTTTTTAATGACGATGAAAAAGAAATGGACAAAAAAAAAACTGTCATTTACTTTTTTGGAATACAAATTTTCACGTGAAAGTGCGTTTCAATTCATGATTTCCACTATGAATAAGAATGAATGTGGAACAGAAAAAAATCGAAAACAAATACAAATGAATCTTCACATTTCTCTCGTTCAATTTCGTGTTTGCTGTCCACAAATATTATGCACGGGGCACCGACACAGCTCACGTTGAGAATTCGTGCAGAAACTGTGTATATATATGTACATTCCTCTCGATGAAAGTAACCTTACAATTTGTGCTTTGTTGGTGCCCTGTGATATTGCCACATCAAGTTTGGACTCGAGTATATAGCAGTTTTTGATTATTTTCGAACCATTCGATTTAATGATAAAATTGAAATTATGCGTAACGATCTCTCGGGGACAAATATTTATATATTATATTTGCCGCTATGACAGCAGTGCTGTCCTTTTTCTATCTGCAAGCATCCAATTTTTTCATCTTATCGAAATGATGCGCCACATTTTTTTCCGCCCAAAACTCAACCATTTGAAATTGAAAACATTTTGAGGTTGTGGTTTTCATTGAAATTTAAATTTAAAACAAATTTCTCTATCGCTCTTTTTTTTTCTGGCTAGAGTGTGTGTATGCGTTGTGGCACAATGCAAATATTCTTAGCACAATTTGCTCACAAAAATGTGTGACAAACTTCTACACGCAATGGTTTCATATCTTCTCTCCATATCCATACACGTTTCACGTGGCATTTTTACTTGAAAAAAAAAATCAAGCAAGCAAATTGAGTTACTTTATCAGTAGCACAAAAAAGAAGAAATAATTTCGAATCATAAAAATTAAAAAAAAAATGAACCATAAAAATGGCATGGAATGGAGTCAAGTGTGTGTGGGTGTGTGAATGTGTTTGTGTTTGTGTGTAAGCAATCCGAGCGAGTGTGAACAAAGGAAGTTCGCTTTGAAATTGCGTTCAGTTCGTTGATTATCATATTTTAGTGTATCATTTCGTTTCAATCGACCGGAAAATTAAAACGCAATATCTTTTTTTTTTTGTAAGCGACATTCCATTCGATTCCAAGGAATCTCACCATTTTCAAACAAAGAATGTTCACATTTTTCTGTCGTCGTTCATCCCCACAAAATCGGTAGCTAATTCGATTGTGAAATACAGGAGATTTACCCCACATTTTCAGTGTTAGGCAAAAATTTATGTATGTATCTATAAAATTAGAAAAGAAATTACGCAATCAATTTTTCTTGTTTCGATTTTTGAACATGGTACACCCCAATACGATTCAGTCATTGACATCATTGGAACGGAAAAGTGTGCGATCAAAATAATTGTTGGTTAAATTTGATGGAGAAAGAATGCCATAAAAAATATACCTTGGAAATGCATGGATGGAAATTTTATGATGGTTGCAAATAATAATAATAACAATAATCGATTTGAACGCCACACTGTTTCGATCAAAGCACCTCTCGGCGAAACGGAGTAGGTATGTGTGAAATGCAACAGAGCCGGTCGATCAAGTTGCAATTTCCATAGTTTCGTTTCAACGTTTAATTGATTTTTATTTCGGATTCCGTTTGATTTTATGCAAGCCCATCAAAATAAATTACAGTTAACCTTGTTCAATTACACAGTCCGGGTCGAATTGGTTGAGCGTATATTTTAGCGACGGCGATGGTGCGGCCGCGATGCAGTTGCGTTCATTCAATATCAGTCGCATTTTTCGTCAAAATGAAAATTAATGCAATTAAACCAAATTCATTACCATCAACAGCTCAATACGTGCATAATATATGCATTTCATACAAGAAATCATTCCCATCTGCAGAACCCGGTTTTCCAAAACTTAACTGGATATTTATGTTGCTTTGCCGTGCATTTTCGCTGATTTCATGAATTTCGATTGCATTACGTTGAAACTTTAAGCCAATGCCGTTGGTTGTTTGTCATTAATTCGCCACTCGTTTGCAGGTGAAATTTTAATAATTTTTATGGCACATTGAACTTGAGTTACGTATTCAAAGAAAATACGGGCATTTATCGTGAGCTTTAATGGCCTCCTCCATTTAAATTATAACGGCAGAAATTGCACAACGATAATGGACGAAAAGCGAAACAATTGACGTCGGACAGAAAAAGAGGGAGAATGCATGAACAAAAAATAGGCGAGAAAATTCACGGAATTTTGTTGATGATTCCATTTTATTGTGTGATCATTCATTTGTCGGTTAGAGAGAATTGCATTCGCATGCAGTATATTCTTTTTTTCTCTACCCATTCGGTTCGCCTATTATTCATTTCAATCTACACATAAAATATGCAAAGCGAAAATAAATTTCGTATGATGCAGAAATATTTTATTCCGTATTATTTTGGGATGGAGAGCTGAAAGCACTGTTCCAATTGGACGAGTGGGTGCAAAAGGGCGAGAAGAGTCGAACAGAATGAACGAACGAATGAACAAGCATGCACAATGAATCAAAATAAAACAAAGCGAAAACGATACAAAACAAAAATACAATGAGAACAAGAGGGAGAGGGAGAGTGCGTGCGTGCGCTCGCGAGAGAGAGAGAGAGAGAGAGAGAGAGAGAGAAAAAAAAAGTGAATTGTATTAAATTGTAAAATGGTAATAATAGTAAAAATTAAAATAGGAAACCGTATGTCGACACGTCAAGGGAAATGAAAAATGCCGTTTATTGTTAAAATACCGCACTACACGTAATCAATTTCTTTTTGTCGTTGCATTATTTGTCGCATTAATATGAACCTCATTCGTCGCGTATCGAAGTGGAAATGCAGTGTGTGATGGGCCATGGCAAAAGCAAAAGTGCGCACACTGTTGGGTCGCCATGCTATGCGCCCAACACTTAATACAGCACAAATTACCACGTATCGATGAAATCGAATCGAATTTCATTGAATACACTGCAGTGTCACACAACAAAACTATGACGACGATGAACACACTATCACGTGGTCGCTTTTGCCGTTGTTCAGTTTTATGTGCCAATAGTCGATCGAAACATTTTTTTTTTCTCACTTCTTCCCATCTCTCGTCTAATTTGTCAAGCTTATATGAAATGAATGTCATATCGAAGAGAGCGAGGCAAATTGGTTGGACATGTGTAACAACGTTGAAAATGGTATGATGATAGCCAACATTTGATCGAACAAATCGGTTTGGCATTTGATTGCGGCTATTTTCGGCGACAGGAATCCACCGTAAAAACACATCTTCACTCTCTATTTTTTTGTATGGATCTTGTTGACTGTTGCTAATTCTACTGCTGCGTCGCATTGTTGGCATGTGTACAAATTGAACCATCGCATACTCAAATAATTATACGCAACGATAAATTTGCGTTTTCAATGCCAGTAGTGTGTGTTGCTTGAAAAATAAAAAAAGTGCAAAAATATGCACGATCGAAAATTATAAAAGCGACGTCTAAATTTACAGCAATCGGCATATTTCTATTTTTATCGAGAATGAAAAAAAAACGCTACAACAATTTGTTGAACGCATAACCATCGTCACAAAAACGCTTCATATGAAATAATTTATGCTCGCTGACGCGACTCACTTGTTTACTTGTAAAAACCTGTTGGTCATTTTCTCCACCCCTTTATTTTGTGTTGCGTTTTTCCTTGCGTTTCAGCACGGTCGACAACATACACTTGCGCTAATGGAATTTAATAAATAAGAAGAAAAGGAAAAAAAAAAAAATGACTGTCATTGCCTTGAAACCCAGTTGTTAATATATAATAACGTTGCCATTTAGTCGAGACAGACAATATTTCTGTATAATCATTTTTCACTGGCAAAAGAGCAGAAAAACCAAACACATTCTCAACTTTTTGTTGATCATTTTGTCTTGGCATTTGTCAAATCTATATTTATTTGTTTGTTTGTTTGCTTGCAGGAGTCAAACGCGTTACCTGGCCACCCGAGCACGAATACCAAGCAAGAGCTGCTTCACTCACTCGTCAATCGCCGGGCCTTCAACCTCAGGTAAGGGAAATTTTCTGCATATCTCACCACTTATATTTTCGGTTTAAGCGGCGCATTTGTATTGAAAGTGGGATTTAGTCTGTGGGGAATGCATTTTTTGATGTTGTCGACAAAGCTTTACAAATGGAAAGAGAAACATATTACAAGATACTTTTTTTTTCTTGGTATTGTTATTCATCCTCTTGTGTCCACCATTACGTTTATGATGATTTTCTGTTTTGTGCTGCAATTTTTTTTTTTTTTTTTGTATCTTTGTGCTAAGAATGAAAAATGTCTCAAAAATGGAATCGTCTCTTTTTCCGTCTATGAACATCAATAATGAACATTATTGAAAAATAGTCAATCGAATTGATGTCGCATCAAAATGGGTATAGTCAAATATAGATGACGGCTGAGACCGCCAAAGAATGGTATGGAATCAAACAAAATGAAAGGAACGGAAAACGGTTAAAGAAAATTGTGCCCACAACATTCCTTTTATTGGGACTTCACATTTTTTTTTACTTCTTTTCATTTAATCGTTCGACATCGGTACCTATTGATGAAGTCGTTTCGTTTCTGATAGCCGAAAAGGAATGAGAAGAAAAAAAAAATTACTCGCACACATCCTTCCATATGGCAACTTTAAATGAATTCGCCAACGAAAGAAAAGGGAAAGAGAGAAAATAAAATTAACAAAAGGGTTCTTGAAGCATTTAATGCGGTTCATAACAAGCTTATGTTCCATATCGATTTTCCACTCAACTGAAAGAGAAAAATAAACTGGCGGAAAAATAACTGAAACAAAACGAAATACAAAGAGAAATGAACAGCATCGATACACACTTTACCTCGTCGATGTTTCTTTATATGGAAAAAAAAAAATAATATCGAAACGAAAGAGAGGGACGAAAGTAAAGACATCAATCGAGTTGAATTCACAACAAATTGCAATTTATTATATGCTAACAAACATTTGAACACGCACAAAAGTAATTCTAGAATGAACAAACCAGAGCAATCGTTGTGTCCGTACGCTGCTTGCGTATTATTAATGGATAAAGTTGAAGATTCGGCCGTGCTACACAGGGCAAATCGAATTCAAAAAGATCAATAAAATTTTACCTACCAATTATGTACAACTTTTGAACATAATTCTCTTTTTTAGACTCAATGTATTCAATCTCTTTTCGTTCGTATTAAATACTCAAATTTACTGTAAATGCTTAATTTTAATTCCTTTATGGATATTCAGTCCAATAGAAATCGGTCCAAGAAGACATTCGAATGCGCATTCACACACCAAATGCACATCACGTAAGGAAAAGTTCTGAAAGTGAACAAAGGCACGGCACATTGGATGTGCTCAACTGCCGTTGAGCTATAATGTGAAAAGTTCGCTCACACCTTACCATTTTACGCTGTTGCCACATGCAATGCATTACGCTTGTTTGCAGTAAACGTTCTATTTTTTGTTAACAGATACGATAATTACATGTGTATTGCTTGCGTGCACGCACGTTGGCGCATAATTCGCATAATTCTAATGGAATGAGATCGGTATTTGATTTTTATTGTTCATTTACAAAAGAATAAAATGAAAACTGTTGCAAACTCATTGGACCACTTTTTCTGGCTATCATCTCAATGGTAGACTTCTCACAACTTTTCATATCGAAACCGAAAGCCTCTCATCATCCTCCATTCACATGGTCTAAACAATTCGGCAGCTAATTAACTCAGTGAATCTCTGTATGAATACTTTCGGATAATAGAATCAATTCAGCGATTTAGTAGCTTAAGTGAAAAACATTCAAATAAAAATCAACCGAAACACCGCCAACTCCTCTCGCATCCTATCCACACGTTATGGCACAATGGGCCTCACCATGCAAAAGAGAAAACAATAATAATAATAATAATAACAAACAACAAAGACGATAACATCTAAGATAAAGAAACATTAAAACTTTGGCACAAATCTCTTTCTCTGTGGTGTTTGGTCGCGTTTTGGTTTCGACAAAGTATCCGTCCGATCTGATTCAATAAGTAAAACTAATCACAGTGATTTTTCGCATTTTCTCTTCGCTAACGAGACGCAACCAGGCCTAGAATGTGAATAACTTTGTCTTTGCATTGGAATGAACAACAAGCTAACATTGATCTCTTGAGCTCAATCCGCAATCGATATTCTGAATTCGGTTACAAGAAATTAGACGACCGATAAAAAGACAATCTTGATAAATTCGGAGAGAGAGGGAGAGAGAGAGAGAGAGAGAGAGAGAGAGAGAGAGAGAAACTGCGACGAATCAGAGATAGATACAATGAGCAGCAAGTTTGTTTTTCGTGTCTGTTTACTGTCTGTTATCCCGAAAGCAAAAAATCAATTTCACCATCGTTTCCAATTCGATTGCAAATTTAATGGATAAAAAAAATTGTTGAAATTAATTTTTTTTCTTCCGAAATTTTCGATATATCAAATATTGATTCATATCATGTTTACTTCGCGTCCATTTCCAAACATATTTAGATCGATTTGGCCGTTTTTAGCTCTCATCGAGCGTGTAAACGAGTGGAAAGTGTTCCGAGCAACTGAATCTATCTGATGAATAAGTCAAAATGTGTGGGTGTGTGTGTGTACTTTTTTTTTTTTATCGTTGGTCATAACTTAGATTTTGCGACATTAGTCTAGCTGATGACATGAAAAGATTATATCCTGACAAGCACAAAGAACAAAATGCTCGTAAATATCCAGAACAGAAGAAAATGGCAAACAAGACGGCAACGGCAAAAATATCAATTCGTTTGCCAGATGTAATTTGTGTTCATGGCTGTTGAACGCAAATCTCTGTCGATATTGTTCTTCAAACTTTCTTCTCTGTTTATTTTTTTTCTTGTGTTATCGTTGTTGTTGTCGTTGTCATTGTCGTTTGGACCACTCTTCGCCTCGAATTCGTTCCAATAGCGTGCGCCAAACTATTGTTTCCAATGTTTCTTTTCGTCTATCAAAAACGTAAAAAAATTTCCAACTTATTGACTTATATGTAGTCATGGTAATGTAGTTGTTGATAAATGGATTTTAGTTTTGTGAAGGGGAGTGTGCCAAAGGCACATCGAGTGAAGCAGAGAAAGAACAAATACACACACATTGTCTACGCACGATGAAAAGCAGCAGATAAAAATGGCCAAAGGAGAGAAACAGAGAAATCATTCCACCGTAACAAGGATTGCATTTTCGATATTATCATTTTGGACACTTCACAAAGCCATTCGATCGTTGATTAAAATGAATTGAACTGTTAAATGATTTAAATGACAAAATTCGAATCCGTGACTTTTGTTAAAAGTATTTTTCTGTTTCGTCGAGAGAGAGAGAGATAGAGAGAAAGAGAGAGAGAGAAGAACGAATCGGTTGAAAATTAGGGAGCAAATCAAACTGGCTTTGGTATCAGCATTCATCGCCATTTTTATACTAAACTCCAGTGGTTCTTTGTCGTTTTTTTATACGGTGATTGTGACAAATAAAAATAAGCATTTTCATATGTTTATGTCAGCTAATCCCAAATCTTCCATCATCTTCTCACATTTATGCGACATAAATGTGAATATTTGCACACATATAGAGACAATGATGGCGGAGCTCGCGTGTATCGCTACTTGTATCGACGAAAATATGTTGTGATGATGAACCAACAAGAAAGAGAGAATATTCGAACCGACGAATCCTTTTTTTATTATCTCAAATGGAGACAATACAACCAACCAGCTTCACAGCAACGTCAACATACTACTTTTCTTTTCATTTTTTTCTTCTCCACTCGCTGCTCTTCATCGTTTATCAAAATATCGTCGAGAAGGAGGAAAAAAAAAAACGAAACATAGAGGAAAGCGAAAGACTGTGCTGAAGCTCTTGCAATTCGATTGATGGCATCAAGTGTTTACCATCCCGCCAACTAAGATGTGGCATTTATAGCTAAGCTTCATATTTTTATTGACAATAATAGCAAGTACTTTGTCGCGTTGTCATAATGCTTTCAATGCGATTATTATCATCAGTATACGACAATATGCGAACGAAACACTATACTAATAAAATAACTAATTCGCAATGCGAGGGGGGAGGCGAAACAATATTTGATATCAGTAGCACAATTTTTCAATGAAATAGTGTAAATTCGATTATCCATTCTTTTATGCTACGAACTGTTTTTTTCTTCGTCTTCTCCTTCTTCTCCTTATGGTTTTTCGATTGCATTTTTTGCCTGGTAATACGATCCACTTTTCTGTCGAAACAATCAGTTGAAAGTTGCAAGTCGTGAAGAGAATGAAGAAGAAAAAAGCCCACGTAAAATTAATGTTGCGTTAGTAAGCGTTTGCGTTCAATGGGTTAGAAGTATCAAATAATAGAAAAACCGTATTGTCACTGCCACTCAATGGCATAGATGCCTGACAGAAGATTTAATGGAGGCGTTGTGATTTCTCCGAAATTCACAATCTAATCCGAAATTGGATGAAATACATCAATTACGCCTCCTTCAATGCGAGTCGAGAGTATGACTGCGTGGTGCACACAATGAACAATGCCCATTTCACTTCTAAATTTAGGTCATTGTACACAATTTTCGAAAATAAGACATTGTCATGATGATACCGTTCGCAATTCGTTCTCTGTTTTTCTTCGCAAACCTAAACAGAAAATGGAAGCATTTTTTTTACAAAACGTACGCCATTAACAAGAATTGAATTAACCGAAGGAACAACGGAGTGGGATGTAAAATGAAAAAAAAAACGGCGGCCCGCAAAAGAATTGTCAACACGCAAAATAACGGATTTTTTTTTTCTGTCGTTCAACAATCGAAAACATTCTCTTTCATTTTTTATTTAAAGCCATCACAACAGGAAAAAGAAGCGGGCTTGCGCCTTTTGTTTGTCTATCGGCACTTTAATCGAGCTATGACGCATTTAACAGGAGAAATGTGTTTTTCTTTTTTTGAAAACAACCAAATCTAAACAGAACGACA